AGGGCGATGGCGGCCCTCAACTTGCTGCATGGAGCAAGAGGTGGCAACCCGTCTGCAGAGAGGTGGCCCAGAGCGGGGCTCTGCCCGGCCCCAGCCCGCTGCCGCTCCCCAGAGGATTTACTGGGGCTGTCTGCCCGGTGCGCGCCCCCCAAACCTCTCCCTCCCCTGACTTCTTGCCCCCAGCCATGGCTGATGAGCTCAGTGAGCTGCTGCGGGAGTTTGACGAGGTGATGGAGGACTTTGACCGAGGTCCCGCGTGCCAATACGAGCAGCACCTGGAGGAGCTGAAGAGGAAAGCGGGACACAGCGTGTACGACAGCGGCATCGATGAGCTGGAGAGTGAGTCTGGGGTGGGGAACGAGGCATCTGTGGGGAGGATGGTGTCTGTCGGGCTGGAGTTGCTCTGGGGTTCCTCCATGGGAAACCACGGCGCTTCCTGCTGCGCCCGCCGCTGAGTTGCTTGCCTGACTCCTCTCTCGCGGGCTGGATGAGTCGCGTGGGGTGGTGACTGCTGGATCCTGGCCCAGGGGCTGCCAACGGCCACTGGGGCTCCTTCTGCTGGGTTGGCTGCTGCAGGACCGCACGAGGCTTGAGATAACCAGGAGCTCAGAGGAAACCAGGGTGCTGTAATGACCCCAAGGAGCCCCCATGGCCGTGCCCGGGCAACCTCTGGTGCTGTTTGGGCTGGCAGAGGAGCTCAGTTCCCTTTTTCCAAACATTCCTTGCAGCAGGGAAGAGCAAACGGGTTGGCCAAGAGTGAGGGTGGGCCGGGGGCCCCGTGCCACGCATGAGAGGGGGCAACGGAGCTGTGAGGGGTCTGGAGCACACGTCTGGTGAGGGGCAGCTGAGGGCCCTGGGGGTGTCCAGCCTGGAGAAGAGGAGGCTGAGGGGAGACCTTCTCGCTCTCGACAGCTCCCTGACAGGAGGGGGGAGTGAGGGGCGGTCGGGCTCTGCTCCCAAGGAACCAGAGGGAACGGCCTCAAGTTGTGCCAGGGGAGGTTTAGGATGGATATTGGGAGAAACTTCTTCCCTGAAAGGGTTGTCAAGCACTGGCACAGGCTGCCCGGGGCAGCAGTGGAGTGCCCATCCCTGGAGGGGTTTAAAAGATGGGTAGATGTGACGTTGAGAGATGTGGGTTTGGCAGTGTTAATGGTTGGACTTGATGGTCTTAAAGGTCTCTTCCAATGAAAACGTTTCTATGGCTCTGTGAGATTGGTCCCTGGTCCTGCAACTTGTTTACAAGGTGCCTCTCACTGTGGACCGTGGCTGATGCGTTGTATCCGCAGGTACCAGCACGTCCCCGGGAAGCAGCCTCAACTCCAGCGAGGAGGACCTCAACACCCCTGCCAGCGCGTACCCCTCCAAAGGTGAGGCTGCAAGATCTGCCCGGAGGGCTGATGCCAGAGCTTCCTTCTGCACCCTTGGCTTGGCCTGGCAGCCATGGGCCTTCACCGGCCCTGGGCGGTGTGGGGGGCGGGGGGTGGCCCTGGGGCCCTGCAGGGTTTGGAGGTGGGAATGAGCCCTGGGGGCCTGGCTGGATCCTGGAAGAGGTGTGAAGTTGGATTGGGATGTTCCCAGTCAAGGTTAGACTGAGCCAGGGGTCTGGTTGGGACGGTCACCGAGAGGGGCTCTGTCCCCCACCTGGGAAATGTGGGATTGTGCAGGGATGAAGGGGCACAGGGAAGGTGAGCACCCGTCCCACCATGGATGGATCCAGCTCTGGTCTCCCCAGAGTCCTTCCTGGCCGGCCTGCTGCGCGGGGGGAGGACGTGCCCTGCCTCTGTGCTTTTCCCCACATGGAGCCTGCAGCGCTGCTGGCCGGGCTATGGGATGCTCGTGCGCCGTGATACCTGCGGGCACTGTCCTACCCCCAGAGCCCATGTCTGAGAGCGGGAACAGAGCGGGTGGGGGTGGGAATGCCGTGTGTCTGCAGGTCAAACTTAGTCCCTGGGTCTTCCTTCCTCAAGCAGCGTCCTTGGGGAACCCCCTCTCTCCTCAGCCCCGACCTCTGTGCGCACACCGGGGGGGACACCCACGGGGACGGGTGATGCTAGAGCTGCCCTTCAACCCCACGCGAGCGCGGGACTCCAGAGCCAACTGCTCGGGAAGGTTCGGTGCTGCCCTTTCGCTGCCTTCAGCAGCTGCGTACGGCCGTGGGCTGTAATCCCACAGAGACGCATCGCCCCACGGGGATGCTGTGCTCGGGGGGGTCGGCTGAGGTTTTTCCTGAGCCCCCGTTGCCCGCGCAGCCCCCCCATCACCCCCTCCCGCCGCGGCCAGGCAGCGCCGGGCTGGCGCAGGAGCGATAGGCGGCCGGAGCAAGTGGGGTTAGGAATGAGGGGTAGGGAGCTTTCCTCTCCCAAATTAGAGCCGGGGAGGGGTGGGGGTGACAGAGACCTGACGGTGCGTTTCTCTCCGCTAGCTAAGCTGGGAGACACACAGGAGCTGGAGGAGTTCATTGCGGACCTGGATAAAGTGTTGGAGGGTACGTACGCAGCTCTGATCCCAGCGCTTCCCTGCATCCAGCGCGGCGGGACACCCGGGACGGGTCTCCTCCTTTGGCACGGCACCCCTGCGGGTGGGGGTCCCCCTGCAGGGCGCTCAGAGCCCAGTTTGGGCTGCGGGGGTGGAATCCTTCTGTCTTTTCTTTCGCGAGGTGGGGTTCGTCTGGATGTCACCCCCCCATCCCTCTTCAAGCTCTTCCAGCTGGGGCTGAAATTCCGCTGCCGGAGTGTCTCCCCCTCTGTGCTGCCTCAGTTTCCCCCAGCGGGTGAGGCGGAGGTGGCAGCACTGTCCTGGTGGAGGAGGTTGGGGATGTGGAGGCCAGATTGGCCGCCTTTTTTTTTGGAGGCCTTCACCGACAGGCCCAACCAGCCACAACCTGCAGAGCTATGGACTTCTTCAGGAGGACACAGAGATGCTCGTGGCCCTCTGCCTCCAGCCCCGATCTGGCTGCTGCTCAAGGGCTTTTCTTTGCTGGGGGGGGGGAAAGGTGAGCGCAAGGAAAAGAGTATTTTTCCTTGTGGTATACCCCAGCCTGGAAAAAATCAGCCCCGTGGCAATGTTCCGTCTGGAGGGAGGGCAGTGGGGGTTCAGACCCGATAAGCACCACCGAACATGTGCCCGTGGAAGCGCCCCGTGGGGCGCGTTGGCACCGAGCGAAGCCGTGGGCAGGTCTCGGAGCGGGAACCGCTTCAGAGGGTCTGTGGGGAAGCAGAGAGGGGAATTCCGGCCCTCGGGGAGCGCGGGCGGATGGAGGACTCCCCCTGCATTCCCCTCCTGGCGAGGGGCTCGGCTGCAGGTAGCCCTGGGGAAGGTGGTGATGCTGTGCTGGGCAGCTCTGCGGTCCTGTGAGGTTGCCTGGTGCCCAGTAGCTTCATCACTGGAGAAACCAAGGCAGAGGCCACACTCCCTCTCCCTGGGGAACAGGCTGGAGGCAGAGAGAACTTGATTTAAAAAAAAATTTAAAAAAAATATTAAAAAAAAAAATCCCCCTTAGGCAGCCTGCCTCAGTCACAGTTCCCAGTATCTGTTCCCCCTTTCCCTTCTGACTGTCCAAAATGAGGTGGGTGGTGGGAAGCGCCGCTTCTGCTGGCCCTGAGCCACGCTGGGAGGCAGTGGGGCAGGAAAGGCACCGGAGCCCCCCACAACCCGGCAGATTTCTGCTCTAACCCTGCTGCTGGTGATGCAGGGGGGGGTGTCCAGTGCCCCACGCAGCCCTTCTCCCCCCAACACTCCTCTCACCAATCTCTTTTCTTTTTTTTTTTTTTTTTTCCT